AATTTCACAGTTCCACTATTTATTTTTGGTCCAATTAGTTTAAAATATTTTTTTAAAAAAATATAGCTTATTTTGTATAAATAAGAGCTTTATCAAAAAATCAAAACCAAAATGGTTCATCATATACCATTCATTATTGTATTGTCGGCCTGGTTTATATTTTAGATTTTATTTCATAACCAGCGTAGGACAGCCAACGGAATTCTGTGATTGCGACTATCAATGCTCAACTCTGTAGTCTTGTAATTTTGAACCCAATCCAGGAGAAAAACTACTGAATCAAGCAGTGGGATAAACTAGACATAGACAACAAACTGGACAACATAAACTCAACAAACATTCGAACAACAACAAAAAATCCATCATCATGTGCTGTCTTGAAAAAATGGGCGCTGCTCAAAATGCCCGTTGAAACCGCTCAAAACTAGACAAAGCAAAAAAAGAAAAAAAAATCCTTTTTAATTTTAAACAATGCATCCAGGTTCTTAACTTCTACGTTTCTCTTGAGGAAGGCGATTACCAAATCAGGATGAAAATTCACTCTATCTCCATTTTCTTAAACCCGCATTTTGAATTACGCCCGATTTAATTTTTAAATGCGTACTTTTAGTCGTGTCCATTTTCTGAACATGTATTTCGAGCGATGCCCTTGTTTTCAAACATGTATTTCAGGCTGTTACTCTTTTCTTAAACAGGTAATTCAAATATTTAAAATTAAAAAAAAAATCACCAACAATTTGCTATGAAAGAACATAAGAAAAAGGTGTTGCACTTAGTCAGTTTACGGAAATCTCTAATAGCTTTTAAACTCTAAAGTAATGAAAATACTGGTGTATGAAGTATTTTTGAAATTTTGAGGTAGAAAAATTGAGCTTTAAGGTACGAGATTATATTTCATCTCCAACCGCTGCAGCCAGTTGTCGTCTCTACTAGCTTATTCCTTCTCGATCTGTCCGACGCCAGTACTTTTCATCTATTTATACCCGCACCATCTATTATGCTGCTTGACTATCTTCCCATTCCCCTCTGACTTGTAGAAGGTTCTTATTTTCTCTGAATCATTGTTGTTATATATGTAGATTATTCGAGGCAAGCGGTTTGATGGATTCTAATTGCCCTGACTATAATTGATAAAGAATAAATCCCTTATTTAGAGCTACTACTCATCTGAAAAAAAGAAAAAAACATGTCTTAGACACATTTCTTATTTAGCTTTTTCTAATAAAAAATATTATTTACAGCTACCAATACTTAAAAATGTTTTTAATCTACATCTTATATTCCTATATCTTTACCTAATCTGTAACTAAGTACCCTCCAAAATATGGGCTTTGGCACATTCATCTGAGAGAGGAAAAATAGCCTTAGCAGATGGGATTGAAGGGGGCAAGTGCCCTACGTCCTTGAAAGCTGCTTAGCCCGCGGTTTATCACAACTTGTACAAATCATGTATTTAAGTATTGGTACAATAAACATTAACAGGCTTATTAATCTTTATAAAGTCGAAGGACAGGATTAGGATCCCTGATTATTTGACAACATGTCCATTGCTATTATTACCTCTTTATTTAGCTTATTTCTTCGTCCTTGAGGGGCAATTCTGTGAATAAAACTTTAAACCAAGAGTTAACGATCGTGCCATAAGCCTCTGGGCAACTTAATCACATTACAGACAACGGTGTAGAAAGCTGAATTTAGTGTGTGATTGATTATCAGATTCACGTCAGAGTCCAAACACGATACTTAACTTAATGGCTTGTTAGATCTTCTCTCCCTGTCAACTAAAGCCGTTCCGAAAAACGTATTTAACGCACTTAAACCATCTAATGTTTGCTCTGAGAGTATACTTAGCACATTCTATCAAGGATTTTATGGATTTTACGAACGCTTTCGTAACGCAATAAGAGAGACTGAGGAAGACTTAAATCCTCTCTTCATCCTCTGGAGTTTCTATATTTACTTTTAATGCGAGTTTGAATTATTTTGTTTCATTTTGAGTCGCCTTTAAATGGCGTAGTTTTAAATTTAATGCTAATATTTTTAATTGTGCAATCAAGTTGATAGGAAATTATTAATTTGTTTTCACTGCTGTATTTGTATAGAAAAATTCAGTATTATTATCAAAATAAACTAGAGTATTTGAAAAGTTTCGAAAAGCTTCAGAAATTAATTTTAATTTGTTGTTTTTGCAATTTGTACAATCACTTAAAATGTACATATTCAAATTATATGCAAAATTTCACTTGATTTCTTTTGCCCTAAAACAACTATACAACTTTTATATGTAATAAATAAACGTAATTAGTTGGAATTAATTATGATTATAAATGAGTCACTAATTATAATAGTTATATTTGGAAATAAATGAAAACATTTTGCATTCAAACTAACTTATAACTCATAATGTTTTAAGCGTATTTAATCCTATTGTACCCAAAAATTATTTTAAAAAATTTGTTATTAAAAAATTTTTTTAACGAAATAATTTAAAAAAGTCATAAAAAGTAAATAAAATAATTTAAAAAAAGTTAAAATTATTTAAATTTTTTAAAAAATATTCATGTATTCATTCGGTTTTATTCAACAAGGGTAAATAAGCCATATGTTGCTGAACCAAATAAGAAGAATAAAAAAAAAATATTAAGTGGTTGTGCAAATTTATGTCAATTAGGGAAAATTTTAAATCGCCACTTTGTCTTACACGGCATATATTAAATATTTTTAAAAAAAGGCTATTTTTAACTAGATTTGGGATCTAATTAAAAAGGAAAGCCGATCGGTTTTGTATGGTGGTCAGGGAGCTGATCTCAAGTCAGAATTCTCCCGGGTTCGAATCCCAGATAAGGCAGGGATGCTCTTTTTACTTCTCTTCTTTGTACTATCTGTTCCTCTTACTGTTGGAGTAACATTGGCCCACCTAATGTGGTCCCCCCCCCGAGAGAGTAACCAACAAAACTGCCCTTCTGATACCCAAAAGACAAAAGTCAGTATTCGGGTGGTCATTGAAAAAAAAAAGATTAAAAATGGCACTTAACTAGTTACCCATAAAATGCTAAATTATGCATCAAGAAAACGATTAATTTTAAATGCTCTGTGATTAGTTTGTGCAATGTAAGTAGTTATTTTAGTTTTTTGCAAATATTTCATATTCTTCTAAGTTATAACAATTTCTCATAAAAAATGAATTATCCACTTTCTCTTGCATTTTAGGTCACTTTTTTATCTATATATAAAAAAAAACTCAAAATTTCAGTTATTTTTTAATGTATGTAAATAGATATTTTTGAAACATTTCAAACAACACTAGTTCCATACCTTATTCAAGATCAAATATTTCACAAATTTACTTTACATTCTTTTAAAAATTGTTGTCGTATAAGTTATTTTATAATAATTTAATATACATTTTAATTAACATTTTCTTAATTTTTTTCAATATTATTTTCTTTTCAAAAGTGGTTTATCTCCCATTTGTGTTCATTAAAAATTTCGTTTCTAGAATCAAAATAGAAAAAAAAAATCTTTTTAAATGTCTATTATAAATTTTAAAAAAATTTATTTACTGAAGAATTCTGAAAATGTTCGCTATCATAGTAAAAAAGAGAAGCGTTCTGAAATAAACAAAAATGTATCAGAAAATAAATCAAATATTTAAAATCCGTTTTACATATACCGGTAAAAATGTAATAGATTGAGTATACAAGTTGATAAAACGTATACATTTTTTTTTTATCACGTTGCATTGGATATGAGGCATAACTGCTGAGAACGAAGACTCGCCTTAAACTCTATATTTTTTTCCTGCCAAAATTCTTATTATTTAAGAACAAGCTGCAGATAATCTAATATTATCGTTTTAATAACTATTATTTAATTAACTCTGCATCGGAAAAGTAAATATTAATTTAAACTGCATTCAGTATAATTCTATTCAATCAGAAAGAGATAAGTCTTTCGATTGCTAAAAAAGAGCTATGGTAACTTTATTAACACTAAGTCAGGATGACGACAATCGAAAAAAAAAACCAACAATCGAATCGACCATTTACCGCTGATCGAAGACTCCCCGTGCAGTAAATGGTGACTGATGCACGTTAAATCTGTCTAATCACTAAGTCCTCCATGTTTCTATAACAAATCATCCCTCTGAGGGTACTGATCCAGGAGTTTCCTTATCTTCTGGATTGGGTTCAAAATTGCTAGGCTACGGAGTTGAACATTAGTTGTCGTAAACCCAAAAACCGGGTTCGGCTGTTCAACGACGGATATAAAATAAAAATATACTGCTTCCTTCCTTAGAACTGCAGCATATTTCCAACACTCTTAGGAGGGCCACACACTGAGGAGGCAAGCGGTAAGTAAGGGACTTATGAAAAGGAGATTCATTTAATATTATAGGAGGCAGATATCATATAGGCTATCATATATAGGAGGCAGTATATTTCCAACACTCTTAGGAGGGCCACACACTGAGGAAGTAAGCGGTAAGTAAAGGACTTATGAAAAGGAGATTCATTTATTATTATAGGAGGCAGATATCATATAGGCTATCATATATAGGAGGCAGTATATTTCCAACACTCTTAGGAGGGCCACACACTGAGGAGGTAAGCGGTAAGTAAGGGACTTATGAAACGGAGATTCATATATTATTATTATAGGAGGCAGATATCATATATAGGAGGCAGTATATTTCCAACACTCTTAGGAGGGCCACACGCTGAGGAGGCAAGCGGTAAGTAAGAGACTTATGAAAAGGGGATTCCCATACCTTAGCACATCACGTCTGCGCATCCTAAAGCAAAAGTATAGGAATTCACCTCTTGTATGCCTCATTCTTACCGGTTACCGTCCTAGTGTGTGGTCTGCCTTGCATTTATGAATGTACGTCCGCTGTTTAAGCGACGCAGCAAAGCTGAGAAGATTTTTGGTTTTATAAATAATTTGATTTGAAAGGATTTTTTTTAGAAAACCATTTAGTCTATTTTTTTTTCTTGCAGGTTGATATTAATTTCTAAACAATATACGAGTATGATGGACGATGACAAAACAATATGATCCTCTTCAGAGGAGGGAGCAGAGCATTTTTCGAAATTTGCTTCTTCCAATTTCGCGAACTTGTGATTGTGTTCTTCATCCTTCTGTGGTTCATGGTTCATTCTATCACCGGAGTTAATGACGGTGAGTGCTATTTTGAAAAAAACCTTATGACATGTATAGTGCACAAGATAAAAACCTTATGACATGTACAGTGCCGAGATAAAACCCTTATGATATGTACCGTACACGAGATAAAAAAACTGTATGACATGTACAGCGCACAGGATAAAAAGCTTAGTAACGAACCAATCCCTTGAGGAGGTCGAGAGGCTGTCTTTAAATATGCTAATTTAAGTGTGCATATGACATATAACGTTAAGATATTAGACACAAAAACGTAACTTTCTTTGAACATATTTGCATTTTTTGCTTGAAGCATTAAGTATTTTAATCTTCAAAATGTGGTGGGGGTTAGATTTAATCTGGAAAATAGGGCTCTTATTAGAAAAGCGGTAGAAAGTTGTGGCTTATTGATTTTGATTTAACTTTTTGCCTATTTCGCCATAGCTCGGGAGCTATTTAAGTGAATTTAAGAAAAAATTTGGTCATGATCATAAGACTCGTTCATTCAAAGTGACTGGTTTTAAAATATAAATTCTAGGAAACAAAGGAACGACACAAACAATTTATCTATTGAGAAAGCTTTAAACTTTTTATACAGAAATTTCGGAATTTTGTTACAAAATATGCCAAAAGATGGCGCTATCGAAAAGAATGCAAATGCTGTAGAACTGTAATCTAACCTGTGATAGAAACGCACGTTATTTAATACAATATAATTATTTAAAAATAAAAACACCTGCAATTTAAATAGCAATAACGCGTAATGTTAATCATATGATGAAAAAATTGTTTTTCGCAAGTTCTACGCGAGCAAACAAAATGAAACTTTTAAAAACATTTACGTTTATGGAAAAAAAATTGTTTCTTTCATCCTCTGTTCAAATTTCAAGATCGCAAGTCTAACCGTTCTGGGATTAAAAAGAGAGTCATACAAACTCTTCCTATTATTAAAATTTAAATTAGCTCAGAAAGAGTTGTTGCGTCTTTGTAATATTACGTGCGCTACAGCACGCGATGAAGTATTATAATGATATTCTCAGACTTTTCATCTCTTGATTCCTAATGACCTTTGATCTAAGTGTTGCACTCGCTTTAATGCATCTGATGATGACGCCAATTCAGTAAAACCATTGCTGTATATTTCTCATGGGGAATAGTGTAGTACGCATTTAATGAACTAGAATTATAATTTACTATATTTAACATTCACTTAAGATGATCGGAAATTAGTGCATTAGATGAAGCTGAATAATCACTCTAAGTCCTATTTACCATTTTACTGCTGATTCATTTAGTAATTACTTGGGATGCTTTTGCTTATTTATTTATGGGAGAACAATTAGATAAATGGATTTAGCTAATATTTTTCTATTTAATTTTTTTATTCAAGTAATAAATAATTTAAATTAAAAAATCAAACTGAAAATAAATAAAATTAAACTATAAAGGATAGTTTTGTGGCATTCAAAGTTTGGATTAAATTATGGAAACACTTTTATACGAACTCGATGTAACAATCATTTTTTTAGTAACAAATTTTTTGGAAGACTTTACATGGCACAACTGTTGTCACAGTTTGAAAGATAATACTAAGTTTTTAAAAACGTTGTCCTTTTTGCCCATGAAAAATAAGGTTTACTATAGTAACAAACCACAGTTTAAAACCTTTCTATAGTATTGCAATGATTATATTAGAATGCTTTTTAAATTATATTGATAATTAAAAAAGGAAAAAAGCTTCTTTAAACTTCCAATGCTCAATTAAGACGATGAAAGTTTTTCATGAATAAAAAGAACGCCATTTTCAAAAGCTTCAAGCCTGATCTCTTAAACTATGGCAACAGTTTTGCCATGTAGTACTGCTTCCCAACGGTATTTGCTTGAAAGGGCAAGGCTTGGAATAGTTTTTGGATCAATATTGAATTACGCTGTGTCATTAGCTAATTTTAAGTTCCTGTATTAGTGAGTACTGCTTTTCAATGGTTTTCGATTGAAAAGGCAAAACTAAGCACGTTTTTTGCATCGATATTAAACCGCATTGTTTCATTAGCTTCTTTCAGTTACAGTATTTATTAGTCCTGCTTTTCTATGTTTTTCGATTGAAAGGGCATCACCTTACTCTGTTTCATAGAGTTTAGTAGGTAGTGTTTTAATGTACAAGATAAGTGTTTTAATGTGTCACTGTTTAAGCGGTCCAGCATAATACCAGCACTAATTTATAACATATTTAATTGTCAAAACAACATTAACAAAGGTATACAATTAACAAGCAGACAAACAAACCATTTTACATCCAGATCTCGTTCGTACTCAGAGCCAACTAATATAGAAGTATTTGGGGGAGGTTATCCAATGGAGGCGCGCATGCGCCAACCTCAAAGTTTTATTTAGTGATTTAGTGAACATTTGATTTTGATTTAGTGAATTCGAATTATAAGTTTTTTACTCGCTACTACTTCTAAATAATTGAAAGGCTTATGCGATAGGCCACTTTGTTAAAGTTAAGCCGTGTTGAGTATTTTAAAAAGTTGGCAAAATTAAAAATCAGCAAATCTTAGCTTGTAGTTCTCTACCGTTTTTCTTTGTTAAATTTTTTGTTGCATCCGGAACAGTTGGCATCGCTGATATGGGCTAATCACGTGGACACAAAAGAATTATTTTCGAAATCCGCATGAAAGAGACATATAGCAAAAACTAATAAAAATTAATTAAAAATTAATAATTCTTTAAAATTTTTTTTGATAATTAAAGCAGGCACTGAGTTTTCGTTCTTCGCCTTAGAAGATGTCATTGCTCATTTATCGTTACCCAGTGAGCACCTGTGAACCAAAGTCACTAAGGGGAGCAACATTACCCATGCCACACTGCCACAGATACCCGTTCATAGAGTGGGCCACATACACACATCACACACAGAAAGACATCCATGCCCTCAGCGGTATTCGAACCCACAGCCATTGGCTTCGTGTATCATTGCCACGCTAACCACTCGGGCAACTTTATGAAGATTGTATCAAAACGGATTTTGACATCTTGAAAGTAAAAATTTTCAAAATAGTTGTAAGAAAAAAGAATGCATTAAGAAGACCAAGCCCATTCAGCCGAACTACTTAGGCAGAAAGTTGGTTCTCATTAAAAAGAAAATAAGCATATTCGTTATAAGAATCCTTAATGAACCTTCAACCAAAAGATCTGAATAAAATTTTTTTTTTTTAAACTTTATTCGTCGACAGAAAGGAATATAAAATTAAGTTTAAGATATTTCAATGCGACGCATTAAACTTTGACCTCTAAAAACATAATGAAACTTTTAGTTTGAAAGAAGAATAAATCAAATCTTTTCCACTTGGTCGACTTTATATTTCCTTCAAGCTAGTCGTAATGCCAGATCAGAACGGTCTAAGTTTTTTCAGACAAACAATCTTTTGTAAGTTTTTCCGCAATTTCCGGAGAAGTCCGAACTAAATGGAGCCATTTCTTGGAGGAAAAAAAAGAGTAAATCCAATACAATTGAAGAAATAGAAAGTGAGTGGACCAAAACTCCATTTCTTCATCCATGTCTTTCTTCACTCCATAAAGACTGCGAGCAGCTCAACGCTCTATTTATTTTTGAAATGATGATTTGACGAGAAAACAGAGTGTTTTAAATCAGTGCCTTAAAAATGGCTTCCAGGCTTTAACGGCACTTCATTTTTGAGGCAGACGCAATTCGTTCTTTCACAGAAGCTTAGTGAGAAGTGCCATAGAAAAAATTCTATTTTTTGATCTTGATAAAAAAAATCTTATTTTTTAAATCATTAAAAAAGAATCTTAAATCTTTGGCATTCAAAATTTATCTATTTGTTTTACTAGTGCTTTTTGGAGAAAAAAATCTTAGTGTATTTATATTTTATAACTAGTGGGCAGCGCCCCCTGCTCGCTAACGCTCGCCAGCCCCCAAAAATTGTTACGCAATCTTATATGGTTTGCTTCGCAAACCAAGCTCTCTTCGCTCGCTACTAACTTAGGTACATTGTAAATGCACAAAATTCTAAGAATTCAAAACAATCATTCAAATCCATATAACAACTTTTTTTTAAAAAAAAAATTACATCTTTTTAGTAAATACTAAGTCATTAAAATAAATTTGAATTCAAATAAATGACATGTAATTCGTTAAACCTATTAGAAATGTGCTATAGTATAAAATCTTAAGATAAAATTTCTAAAACTGATATCTCTTTAAAAAGGTTAAAATTTTGGCTATAATTAAGTCTATTAAAAATTGAAATAAGTGAATTGCAATGGAAAAACCTGCATAAACAAATAAATTCTAGTAAAACAAATAAATTCGTGATATAAATCAAAAATCGTCAAATAAATTCGTAATATATAAATTCGTGAAAAAAAGCGCTTTCGACAAAATACTAAAATAGAGATCTATCGACAAAGACTACTCACTTCTGCCTAGCTTAATAGTATGAGATTGCCGCAGCTGATAGGGTGAATTTCGGAAGAGATCACATTTGGTGAGAATGCTCTCTCTGGTTATTTCAGTTTCCGTTTTTAAAAGCGCTATATGTAGAGCCACCTCAGCTAGATTTGGCATGTGACATTTTTAACGGCAATCATTGGTCGATTTTCTAGCGTTGCCATTCGGGGAGTTGTAATGAGGCTTTTTTTGTCGCCATGTAAGAGAAATATATATATAGATTAACACAGGGATGCCACAGGTGACTAAAAAAATGTAAAAAGTGATATAAACTCTATTAATTTTTATTTATTTACTATCTCTCGCATTGATCAATCGTGTCCCGCAGTGGACTGATCGTTAAGACACGGTTCCCAGCAGATCACCGAAATCAAGCATTACTGGCTGCTGTCAGTGTGCGGGTGGGTGATCACTTGGATCAGTCTGCGTAGGGACCGAGGGTGTACGGTATGGGTCCTCGTTAAACTGTTCTACCGTAAAGTGCTCGACTTCGCGTGCAGGTCGTCGGGCTACCGAAGCGGGGGTGCCATCCCCTCTGAAGAGGATC